CATGCATGTTACTTCCACTGCTCATAACAGATAGATAGATAGATAGACAGATAGATCGATCCTATGTACCTGTATACATGTACAGTATGTATCACAGGCGATTGCTTTGAGACTACACCTGAAGCCTGGCTTTGCCTACCATTTCATTAAAACACATCTGTGAGACTTTTACCAAGATGTCTATATTATTCATCGCACTGCAATAGCGTGCTGTTTTGTCATTTATCTCAAGACTGTTTCTGGTGGACAGCACAGCCTGTGTGAAAATCTCCTCTGAAGCCCCCAACACAGCGCTGACAGAAACTCGGAGATGTCGCGCCTCTATGGGCTTCCATGGCAGATGCAAGTACACCGTGTTTTTTTGATGGGAGCAAAGAATAACGCTCATTATACAGCAGAATCGTAATACGTCATTTTGGGTCCTGCCCGGATGCCATGCAGTTTTCATCATAAATTGTAAGCATAACGTTCTGTTTGATTCGTTTTTTTTTTTTTTCATTTCTGAAATCTGTTGTTTAGAAGCCTTAGCTGCATTTTTGGCACAAAATGGCAGACGCTGCTAATGCTGACCTGATTTTATACTTTATACTGATTTTATTGTTTATACATTATACTTTGATTTTTATCAAAGTATTTTGATACTCACTTGAACATAACAGACAGCTGCGCTTCTCCTATTTTTTTAAAAACCACCACTGGTGTGTTTTTTTATGTACTGTATATGTATATGAATGAATGAAAGAATGAATGAATGAATGAATGAATTGAATTCTGTCCCATTATTTATTTATTTATTCTGGGAGGCTGGAGATGTGCCCTGTTGGGAAGAATATTGTCTGATGAGTCTGATGGCAGCTGGCAGAAAAGGCCCTCGACAGCGCTTCCTGGAGCACCGTGGTGGAATGAGCCAAGGGCTAAAGGTGCTCCTGGGAAGAAAAAAAAAAGAAAGTTGTGCGATGGGGAGGATGGGCAGAACGGTTCATCAGTTTCACAGCTATAAGTCTTTAGTATTGTTACATGTTGTAAAAATCATGTATTATTTCAGGTCTAATAAAAAGAAATTAATAAAATAGGCCATTCTGACCCAGACAGAACATGGGGTTATGGATGGAGTGGCGCTATAAATAGAAATCTATTTTCAAAACGTGTGTCCGCGCACAAAGCCCTGACTCTGGGGAGGCAGCGAAAAGGTGTAGGATGTGTGTGTGTGTGTGTGTGTGTGTGTCAGTGGGGCAGTGTGACAGGGGCAGGTGGAGAAAAAAGACACTTAGTCACACAGGACAAACAACCTCTCATCAATCATGTTCGGCAATTCACTGTGAGGGGTAGGCAATACGACAAAAATATCATGACAGACAAAGTGTATCACCATGTACAGGCCAGCACTGCTGTTTAACTGCCGGCAAAACAGCTGTGCCTTATCTTCAGAATGAATGATGTACTTACTGCCTACGGAAATAGCATTTGTATTTCTAAAAATGTTCAACATTACAAAAATTAAGTGTATTGTGTCATGATTGATCACAATATCACTATTTTATCACCGTGTTACCCAGCCATAATCGCTGCCTATTTATTCAATATGCATACACCTGTCAACCCCAGCACACACACACACACACACCCCTAACACACACACACACACACACACACACACACAGACCCATGCACGCGTATTACAAGCGTCTCCTGAACTCACACAACTCATACAAAATATCATACAAGACATAACCAATGAACACAAAGAAGAATCAAGATGTTATTTATCAAACCGCACAACAAAATTGTTATTTTATGCAACTAATATTTGAGTCCCCTGCATTTACGGGTAAACGTTACCATTCTCCAACTGTTGCTGTACTCTGGCAGGATTCAATAAAGCATTTAGATAAACAATTCGGCTATCATGAGTAATTCCTAAGAACTGTGATTATTTTTATTTGCTAGCCAAAGCCAGTCAAAACCTACTATTTCCTGTTACCATGGTATAAATATGGCATATTATTACATATTATAAATATGTACATATTCATAAATATTCAGTAAATATGTATATATATATATATATATTAAGCACCTGGCCTGACAGAGAATTATGGATTTTTATCAAGAGGAAGTACAGAGCACTTGCTATCTGGGTTCATAAAGTCAGCTCCAGAATTAGCGACACCCATTAGTAAAAAAAAAAAAAAAAAATGGGTATGAAAAATATAATATTGATATTGTGATAAATTATGTAACAGTATGCTTTTCTGCAATATCATATCTTTTTTTAATTATTTTTTAAAAATAATTACAACTGGAAACAGCTATGATGTTAATTTTGTACTTAATTTTAAACGTTTTCTCTTTTCAGGTTTATTTTATAAAAAATATCTTTACAACATAAAAATCCATTTATTAATAATAAACACATTTATTATTATTTAGAATTTCTTAAAAGCAACACTACTGTTTCGCAGGCAGCTTGTGAGCAAACCTACTGTACATATTGTGATAAATGTTGTGTATCATAAAAATTGCCTTTGGGTATCATATATATATATATATATATATATATATATATATATATTTTTTTTTTTTTTAAATATCACTCAACCATGAATTTTTGTTAAAAAATATATTTTTGATATTGGTCAGTTCACATTTACAGTGTAAGATTAAGTTAATTGACCCCAAAGACATTTTTTTAATAACCATTTGCACCTTTGCACCCAAAAGGTGCCAATAATTCTGGATCTGACTGTATAGACATAGACTTCCAACATGTTGACATGCACACGGTAGCAACTACACATCTAAAACTAAACTACACAGCTAAGGAAATATTATAAAGTAATATTCCAATCCATAAAAAGTTATGTGTAATAAGGTGGAGTGACACAGGGAAAAAAAAATGCCTGAACAGAATGTTGTCCTTTTTTAGACTTTAGTATCATCAGTCAGTGAAGCACATGCCAAAAGCAAACTATAACAAAGACTTTGGAAAGAAGGGAAAGTGGAGATCCAGATTCAGGCAGAAAGCAGCACTCATAGGACGCAGCGTTAATACACAGCGAAAGGAAGAGAACTGCAGAGGCGCAGAAGAGCAAGAGATGAACCAGAGTGTGTAAGAGTGTGCGATGAGCACTTACAGATTTGCGGATGTTGGAGCGTGGTTTGGGGATGGGTTTGGACGGTTTGCTGTCGAAACTCTCAGGCAGCGTGGACGAGCCGTGGCCACCCTTCCTGGCCTGCAGAGCCAGCTGATAGGCCACCTCAAACGCCTGGCCCAGTGTCAGGATGATCTCATAGGCCAAATTCTGCCCACAGGTACATAAAACACAGGTCGACATTTTAATAATTGGACTAGAAATCTTAGGAATTTATGTGTGAGCAGCTTCATGACATACTTTTGTTATACGTTTTTTTTTTTTTTTTAAATGCAGTTTTTATTTAAAAAACTAAAATAGCAGAAAGGTTTCATTTTTGTAACTGAGATTAAAGTTAGGGTCAGGTTTAGGTTTAGCATTAATTATGAATTATGAGGACAAAAACGCCACAAGGGCATTGAAAGAGGCTGTAAATTGGTTCCTCGTACTATTCTTTCGCGTTAAATCGTAACATTTGTGAGTGTGAACTGCTGGCTCTATAGTATTGAAGGTAACCTGTTCCTGCGCATTACTTTCAGTATCATAGACTAAGGACTAATAAGACAAAAGAGCTAGTTATCATGTTTTCCAATTGTATAAATGTCCATAATAGTAATTTGAATTTACGTCTTTAGATTTGACCATTTGGTTAAATTAAATATCCAATCCAGGTTATGGCGGTGTGTAGTTTTCTGATTGCTCTAAAGCTTAATAAAGACCACACAGGAAGTAGGTAAGAACTATGCCCATCTTCGCATCACTGGCTAACTACACAAACTGATTTCCATTGCCCTAATGAGAGCTTCTCCTACAACAAGGTCATAAACTTTGAAAAGGCAAGTGACGTTTTCTGCGATTTATAAGATTGTAATTTTAATTTTGAGAACAGCAATGTTCCTTAGTATTACACCAGTTGCTGTTGTTCAGATTCCCCCACCTTTGGATTTTCCAGATTCTTCCGTTCTGTCTATATAGAAAATAAAGAAGGACCCGGCAGGTTCAATGGACTGCTCCGGTATTAGGGGAGTAAACTTGTCATCTAGATGACAACTCCAAATTAACAAGCCCTCAATTCAATATAACGACAGAAGTTCCTTTAGTTTGCAACCTGTCCTGTAAGCCAATTAATTTTCCAAAATACTGTTTGTTTATCTTGTGTCTGGGTATGACCAGTTTCACTACTCTATGTCTCTTTTTATGGTTACAGATTTCCTCTTTTCAATGTCTTCGGGGGGTCTTCCTCAACACCCTGTTGAAATCATTGTCCAAAGTCCCTAGAGTCTTTGAGAATTTGTGGCCTCATAGCTTGGCGTTTTTGGTTGCGTCTTTTCTCTTGGCATGTCTGCAAGGGCTGCAGCTCTGTCTCCTCCTCACTTAGCATTTCTTTTTCAGAATCCTGAAGCCGATCATTCTGTCTGGACTCTATGCTGTTTTCCAACTTCTCCCCACCATAGATTCTTGCGAGTCAGTTTCCACAATTGGTTGTTCTGGTTTGCCTCCTTCTGTCAGTATTGGAGCAAAAGGTAGTACCTCTGGGCTACAAGTGACAGTTCTTTGGCTGTTATAATTTAGGAAATTGCAGACTTCACTCCAGTTCAGTGTCTTTGACCCATTTCTGTGCAATGGATCTTGCTGGTTGGTCCACAGGTAAACTGTCACGAGTAAGCAGAAGGTTCCTTTCATTTACAAGACTGTCAGCACTCCTTCTTTTCATGACTATAGGCAGCAGCCTTTATTTGTCACATACACTTTATAGCACATTGAAATTCTTTTCTTCACACATCCAAGCTTGTTTAGAAAGTTGGGGTCAGAGTGCAGGGTCAGCCATGATACAGCACCTCCAGAGCCGAGAGCCCAACAGGGGCAGCTTGGCAGTACTGGGGCTTGAACCCTTGACCTTCTGAGCAGTAAACCAGAGCCTTCCCCACTGAGCCACCACTGCCCCTTTTCATGACTAGATTCACCTTGGCTTCCCAGTAGGAAGACAGCTTACCTGGCCCCTCCTCTCTCAGACAGGTTGCGGACTTGCAGGTCAGTGGCGAACAGCCAAATGGCCAAACAGCAGGTAGTATGGAGAGAACGGCCAAACAGCAGTTAGCATGGAGAGAACCCTGTTGCCTCACTGTGGGTGCAGGTACAGGCATGGACCAGTTTTGTCAGCAAACTTTCCAGTCAGCTATTTGTTGTTTGTAGTTCTGAATGATGACTACAGAGCCCTGTTGTCCTTTTGTCCACTTATCCATTTCCCTGAGAGTGTTGCATGCAAATCAAGTCTATAGTAATTCTAGATTCTAGCAAACCAGCCTTTTTCTGAGAGTACAAATTAGATCCCCATTAATGACAAGTTCTTTTCATGTCCCCATTAGGTGTTATAAATACAGAAAAACATGACAAATCTAAGGTGATATTTGGGTTCCCAGACCTAAATTATACAACCCTGATTTTTTTTCCCCATGTCTCCGTAATGTTATAATTACACGAATGTGTGTTACTAACCACATCAAAAGCCGTAAACACATGGCAGTAGTGGTGACTGGACTTCAAGTCTTTGGTGATGTAGGCAAACGTGGAGAGGTCCTCAGGATCCTGCGCTGCACATGAGATGTTCCGAATCTCATGCTCGGCTATGATGTTCTGCACAGGAGAGGGGAAAGAGAGAGAAAGAGAGAGAGAGACAGAGAGAGAGAGAGAAATAACTAAATAATTTACATGATATGTCCGATATGTTTCATAATTGTTAGAGATGTAAAGAGGGCAGAGTAAATGAAAGGCTGCTGTTCACCTTATTTGTTGCATCAATAAACTTGACTCCTTTGTAAGAGACTGAGAGGACAATGGTAGGGACTTTCTTCATTTGTTCTGTAGACTTCTTGCAGAGAAGACAAGAGGAGAAAATCATAGAGCCACCCAGACAAGAATCCCCAAACTTTCCTACAGCCCAAAACAGAGTATGAGACATGACGCATAAAGCCCAACATGCGGCAAATTATGTCTACACCCCAAAATCTTCCTAGCACATTATAACCCCTATACCCCTACACCCCCAAATCTTCCTAGCACATTATAACCCCTATACCCCTACACCCCCAAATCTTCCTAGCACATTATAACCCCTATACCCCTACACCCCCAAATCTTCCTAGCACATTATAACCCCTATACCCCTACACCCCCAAATCTTCCTAGCACATTATAACCCCTATACCCC